TCAAACTCTTCATCCCTGCTATTTTTCTCTGGGATCTCCCAGAGACCACCCTCACACATTCTATGTACAGTGTATCTGTGCATCTATCACCTCCCCACTCTGCTGGAAGCAAGCTTCATTGTTCACTGTGATCTCCGTACCACACAGAACACAGCCTGGTATGCAGCACGCACTGTTTCTTCAATGACTTGTGAGTTAATGGACTGATATTTTTAAATACGTCAGTGGTATGTCTACTTTCAAAATTATAAGATAGAAAGAAACCAAAGATTTTTATGAGGAAATAAAAATTAGCTTAGCTAATTAATGGGCTTAGGTTAAAAAGAAGAGAGAGAAAGAAAAAAATCAGATAGCTCTGTAAATATTCTCCAACCAAGTCATTAAGTGATAAAGTGATAAAAATAAATTTTAAAAAGGCACATGAAAGAGTATTATATCTTTTCAAAAACTATGTTTCTGGAGTTTTACCTAAGAAAATAATAACACTGATTGTCCCTGAGTAATGGGGCTGGACTGCTCAGGAACAGGGGTGGGTGAGACTCGGTTTCCCCTGCACTCTTGGATTTCATATCATGTGTAAACAGTATCTATTCACAAAAGAAAATAAAATGGTAATAAAAGACTAGCATTTGAGTTATGCTTCAAAGCTCAACATTCAATGGATTAGAAATGAAACACACAAATTCTCTCAGAAAGGAAGAATGTGTCTCGAGACTTAAGGGAAAGACCTCTGTGCATGTGCAGGAAAGAATGCACCCGGGGTCAGGATTTGCAGTCAGATGGGAGCTTTGCTCATCAAACACACCTGCCAGGGAAGAGATCTTGGCTACCCAACAAGCACTTAGTATGTGGTGCAGCTGACAGTCACACTCAGTCCATTCCAGAGGACATAGTAAAACACACAGGCCCAAGTGCCCATCCCCCACCACCATGGCCTTCCCAGGGAAGCATTTCCCTGGTGAGCAAGGCTGCTTTAGGACCAAGAAGGGGCCTCCTTTGCAACCGCCATCTGAACAGTTCAGACATCGCTGTCTGCAGGCAAGGGAGATGTGACAGCTCCCACTGCCACTGGTGAAGTCCTCCCTATTGGGACGTCTCTTCACGTAAGTAAAGCGTGTCCAATAAATTCACTGCCTGTCTAGGTCAAGATCATGCTTGCCCACAGGAAAATGAGACACACAGTATACATAATCACTTTTATATTGCTAGTGTATTAAGTTTTGGGTGTGTGGAAATATCTTCCACAAAACCTGCCAGAACTCAGTGCCAGTGATATTTCCAGGGCTATTAATCTCATTAATTCCATCTAGTCCAACTATTCTGACAGAGGCAGCTTCAGGTCATTATCTGACTTTTCCTCATTGCAAGGAAAGTGAAGGTACTGGCTAGCCTTGATCTGTAAGTATTTTGGACTTGGGGTCAGTTGTTTCTCTTATAAATAAACAATGGGCATCCATCGTAGGACTTGGCCATCTTCCTTGAGATTGCTTGATGGAAGTGTGCCCACAGATCCCAAATCCCCATCTCTCAGACCAAGAATAAAGCCTGGCCTGCCCAGACTCACCATCCTGTGCAACCAGCCTCACCCTACTCCAAAAACAGGAACAAATGACAGAAAGTCTAGCTTTACCTGGAAATTCAGTAAAATGAAGCATTTTTAAAATAGGATGTGCCATGCATCAGCCACGCCCTTAAGCCACTCACACCTTTTGATTAGAAGCAAAACATCAAATTTGAGTAATTACCTATTTAGGAAATGCATATAAAAAGAGAAAACTCACGTATATAAGATTGAAGCTTATGTTAGAAACTAGTCAGTGTTGGTGAGGGGTAGGTAGTGGACAGAAATGGACACCTGCCTTCTGCTGACACCTCTGAAATCATTCTGGTTTTATATACCAAGAAAAGACCTATTCACATAAGAAAAAGCAATGTTTGTATTTCTTTGGAGCCTTGTTCCTGAAGGAAGATTTTTGTTGCATGAAGTTTCCTCTGTGTCTCCAGCAGGAGATAAACTCAGACCCCTCCACAGGGCAGGAGTTCCTAGGATAAGAATGTGTAATAATCCTGCATTCTGGTTTCTGTATTTGATGCTTTAAAATCCTGGAGCCACGCTGACACTGGACTTGGTTTAACCAGTTAATATAACAGAGGACTCAACTCCTCACCCTCATTTCCCATGCACACCAGTGAGCCAGAACCCACACTCCAAGCCCTCCTTCCCTCACCTCTCACACTCTGGGTCACTGCCCACCTCCCCTAGGCAGTGCATGCAGGGCCAGGTACCAGGCAGCTAGGGCCAGGTGACAGCCCCATGGTTCAGTGGCCCTGATGTTGTTCAGACTGGCTGGTTCTAAGCCTGCTCCCTCTCCTGGTCTGTTCCTTCCCAGGGCACTACAGTGAGGACTCTCACTGCACCTTCCCTCCGCTTCCTAGGCCTTCAGACCCTCCCTGGCGCTCCAGGCTCAGCTCCCCATGGCCTGGCATGGTCTCTCCTCTAAGGATATGTGAAGACAACACCCCCTTTCCCATGGCAGACAGCTCCTGATGTGCAAACCTGGACACACCCCAAAACAATAAAATCAAATTTTGAAATGGAAGGAGCCTAGGAGGAAATACTAGTCTGCAGGAGGTACATTACCATCAGGGTCATGGGACAGAGATTTCAGCAGCAATTTTTAAAAAAGCAGTGCTGTGATTTGACAGAATGCCCTCTTAAATGAAGCCAAGAATGTGCTCCAGCCCCAGGAGAAGCCGTGAAGGTTAGGACACATTGCTCAGGGCGATCTGGCAGCCACCACCCCTGCATGTATTTCTATTAATAAGTGTTCTATCCATGAGGACCACATGTTTATTAATGAGTCCACGGTCAGCTCAATTACCAAGCGACTCGTGCTTGTGTGTTACCCCACCACAAGGGCACCTGCCGGAGAGCATGTCAATTCTGCAGCAGTTGTCTGAGGCTGAAAACGTGCGAGTTCGTGTTCGCAGTGTGCATATTTCACTGTAAGCATATTCAGTCTGTGAAACCCGACATTTATTTGCAAAACAAAGACAGGCTGATTCATCGGTCTATAAATATCATCTGCTGAAGGGTCATGTCAAATAGGAAGCAGGTGATTTGGTTCACTAATAAGAATGTGGTTTAATTGCAGACCTGTCTGGTGTAGTCAACAAGGCTCAGGACTCTCACATGGTTGTTCAAGTAGCAAAGGTGGTGCCCAGGCCACTGCTGCCAAGGGCCTCTTGGTTGCCAAAGTAACAGAGGCAGTGTGGTCCCAGAGCACAGGAGAGGAGTGGTCCCTGGATGGGGGTGAGCAAGAGTGCAAATTCACATTCCACTCTGAACTCCTCAAGTGCTGGTTCCCAGAACTGATGGTTTAGGGGCTGGAGACTCGCTGTTCCCTCATTAGGTCAAGTTTCTTGTAAGAGATTTTCTGTTCCTTGGCAATGCTTTAAAATTGGGGTATTTTGGCATGAAGTCAGCCTTTATTGAATAGCTGAGGGTTCTGGCCACAAAGATCCCATACTTCTTTCTTTTTTTTTTTTTTTTTTTTACTAATTTTTTTTTTTTTTTTTTTTTTTTTTTGTCTTTTTCCTTTTTATCGGTACCGGGGATCGAACTCATGACTGCCTGCTTGCAAGGCAGGCGCTTATGCCGCTGAGCTAAATCCCCAGCCCCTGATCCCATACTTCTAAGCGATAATGTCAGTGAGAGTGGGTGGCAGGAGCTACTACTCCTTTGTGCCATGCATGAGCTCACTGCTCACTGCAGTCCCTGGCGCCCTGGCTGTCTTCCTACGGTGACTGAGTGCTGGTAACCACATTTCACTGCATTTACAGAAATCTTCATCAGAACTTACAGCTGTCACCAAAGAGAGTGGGCTTAGAAGACCAAGGTTTCAGTAGAGGGGGAGGAGTCAAAGGATGCTCTGATGTTATGACAGGACAACAAACCCCACTTCCAAGACTCCATGGTACGGGAGTGGAAGTGGGAAAGCTTCTTTAGGACTGCAGAAGAGGATTGGGAAGGCAAACTTGGGTCCTGAATGGTACACTTTGAATAAGGGGTGAGCTGAGTATGGTCATCGGGCCAAGTGACTGCAGCGAAGCAGCTCTGTGACACCTGGAGAATGAGTTCATCCAGGCACCAGCCACTGAAGCTCAGACTGGAAATGAACTGAACATGGTGACTGATTCTATTATTAGTTAAGCCTCTATGTGGTGCTTAGTTTGATGACTAGAAAAAAGAGGCAACTGGTCAACCCGTGTTACAGTTTGAGTCTAGATGTTCCCCCAAAGCCTCATGCAATCATGGAGGCACGTATTCTAGAGTTTATGAATGACTCAAGGTCCAGGCTGGGATTATGGGTGTGAGTGCGACACCCAGGTGGGTGTGACCTACACACAATATAAGGAACAGAAAGTTCTCTCTCCATGCTCCTTCCCTTTTTTTTTGTTGACTGTGCGGTTTTCTACTACCACAAACTGTTGCCCTCTGCAATGTGCCACCTTGCCTTGCAGTCAGCCGATTATGAACTGAAACCTCCCACAAACTGAGAGATAAATAAACCTTTCCTTCCTTCACTTGGGGTGTTGGGTATTTTGTCTCAGCAAAGAGAGAAAAGTAACCAAGACACCCAGTTAGCTTCTCCACAGAGTATATTTGAAATCAGGGTGCATTAAAATGAACACAGCTGGGAGGCATAGGAATGGGAAATCCACAGAAATAAGAGCATGTATTGCAGGTGGGTTGACCAATGGGTTTCCTGTGTCTGTCAAAGACGAAAACAGAGCAGGGGAAAATTCCAAGTCAAAACAAGGAAAAATAAAAACCCCACGCTTGTTCATTTTCCAGTTTGGACAGATCATTCCCTAGTGGGAGAGCAGAACACATTTCTTAAGCTACAATGTGACCAGGTCTGGTGGGGTCAATGTTTAGTTCCCATCTCGTCCCTTGGCAGGGGACACAATGAATCACATCCTTCTACACAAACATCTTAAATAGTTCAGAGTAACAGATTTTATTTAATTAAAATAGATTAAAAACAGACTGTGTAAAAGAATTAGAATTCTCAATAATTTACTATTATTTACATTAGCAAATGCTGGCCGTTAGTAGACACTGTGTGGGGACCTAGACCGTGCATCCGAGGTGGCCTCAGAGCCTTGAGCTTCTTCCTGCCCCCAGCCCTTCAGGCTGCTATAGCCAAGTCACTGGGTGCATGAGACAGGAGATTCAGATGCCCCTGGTTGCAGCATCGAGCCCCACACTGCAGGACTGAGAAGTTCATGGCTGGAAAAGGACTTTTTTCCTCCTGGGAAGCACCTTACTCTCAGGCCAAGTTCACAGGTACATTCGATTCTTGGTGCTTTCTCCTTTCTGTCCAGTTCTCCCCATGCACATATGACTCTAGGGTGACCCAAACCCACTGTCCAGAAAGAGCATGTTAAGCCAAAATGAAAGCCACACACCCTGGGAAATCCCGGATTCCTGAACATCTCCTACATAGTCCAGAACTTGGCATCCGGTGCCTCTGACATGGGAGAGAGTGGCAGGGAATCAGCGTGGGTGGGTGGGTGGCCCCGGGGTCACCCGTCCACAACAGATGTTCCTTCGAAGGGGCAGTAACAGTGGGAGGGAGCCCAGTGGAGCACATGCCCTGCAGACTCTGAAAGTGGCCAGTGAGTGAGTCCCGGGAGAGGCGAGGCAGACTGTGGTGCATAGAAGACCCCTCAGGAGAGCATGCTGAGTGGCCTCCTGTGTGGCGATCCCCGGTGGCAACAGGTGCCAAGGTTGCTGAGTCCTGCTCCTTGCCTGTAGCCAGTGGGAGGCTGGTGGCTCCACCTGTGAAATGCCCAGGCTTCACGGATGGGGCCCGGGACCCCTAGAAGGCAGCGGGGTGAGCAGCAGCTGTGATCACCAGGGCCTCTGTGGACACCACCGCAATGTACAGTCAAGGGCAGAGGCAGGAGAGGCCAGATGAAGAGGCTCAGTCCAAAATGTCTGTCTCGAAGGGCACCAGGTGGTAATAGGACAGGTTAGTGACATAAGCTGCAGGGTCATCACCGTCCTCCAGCTCTGGGGTGAACTCGCCGCCATTCTCAAACCTGCAACAGTGATGACACCAGTGAGGTGGGTCAGTGGCAACATCTCATGGGCTGGGGCCTCACGGGGAGCCTGCAGGGGCACCTGCCAGTCCTGAATCGTCCAGAGGGCGCCCAAGGGACAGCTGCAGCCAGACTGAGCAGCCCCAGACCAGCAAGGAGAGAGTCAGGAACTCTCTGGAAATGCTCACTGAGGGTGATCCTGTCCTGACCCCAGAGCCTTGCCCTTGCCTGCTCCCCAGGGAAAAATGTGTGGCCTTATTTTGGGGTGCTCCCAGAGAAGAGTGGAGTCCCTAGATCCCTGAGGATCTGAGCTCAGCATCTGCAGCAGCCATTGTTAGGAAGGGGGCTCCCCAGCCAGTGACTCATCCCAGGAAGGTAAGGACCCTTCTCTCCTCCACGAATCCATACCCAGCAGCCTCAGGGCCAACCCTGGCTGTACGGCAGCCCCAGGCAAGGGAGTTGTGAGCTGTACCTCAGGCTCTGCTGGGAGCACCGAGGCGAGGCCAACATTGCCATCACCTTTTCTGCCCCGAGACCACCCCCTCGAGCACAGAGGTGCCCGGTCTTCCCACCCCAAAGGTAATAGACTCTGGACCTGTGGATTCATCCCTACAACCAGTGGCTCAGTCTCCGCAAAAGTCAGTGAATCAACTTCTCATCAGAGTCCACTAAAGACAAACTTTAAAGTAAGTATTCAAATATGAGCAGAGCCTATAGCCGGGCCTTTGGCCACACCCGCTCCTTTCTGTGGAGCCCAGGCCTCTGCCTGGGCAACCCCTTTATAAGGGGTCCAAGCGTGGGTGAGCAAGGCGATCCCTTTATAAAGCCATCTGCGAGTCACGGTACTCACAAGTGCTCCGTGGGGTCCACGTCCTGGTGCTGGTCCTTCCCGTTCGGTATGCTGTGGTCGATGACGATTGTTTCCGTGTTCGCCAAGCAAAAGCCATTGGACCTCATGATTTCTGCAAACCAAAGCAGCAGGTGAGGAGGCGGCTGGTGTCTGAGTTGAGGCTTTTAAGTCCTTTACTTTCCCTTCCACCCACTGGCCCCTTTAGCCCCGACACTGTTCCTGAGGCTCCTTCCAGGCCCTGCCAGGCAGAGTGCAGGGGCGACTGAGCCAGGAGCTTCGAGTGCTGGTCCTGTCTCTCCCTGAAGAGAGCCGCTCCGGCTGCACAGCCCTTCCCCGTGGATTAAAGCTGGGGTGGACAGGGGGAGCACGGGGCCCCTGTCCGTGAACTGAGTTTGAGACCAGATGTACTGTGCAGTGTGTGTGACTTCTCACAGGTCACCCGCCCTTTCTGAGCTCTCGTCACACTAAGACTGAGCCAACAACATCTACCAGCCGGGCTGTTGTGAGGATCTGAAGAGACGATGTGGGTTTCAAACCAGAGCTAACCTGCACGTTTTGGCTTCATACAAATCTAGACAGGCACTGATGTTTTGTTCTTCCGATGAGCACAGATGTTGTAATTCAAAAAGCCAAAGAAAAATGACATCTTATGATGGCTATAAGGTATTATCTGGAGAGGGCTGAAGACTGTGGCTCATCCATGGCTGGAAGAGCTGAGATGGAGCATGTGTGACAGTGAGTTCCATGGCCCAAGGAGTTGTGTCACCCATTCCAGTTTCAAAGTGGTACTAACTTGTCCAGGATCCTGCAAACTCTAAACTCTCACAAACTCCTAGATCCCAGGTCACCACCCGGCCCACGCAATACCATGGTCCTTTGGTATCCCCAGGGCATTTTTCCAGGACACCCCATCTGCAGATTCCCAAGCTCGTGTAAAATGGTACAGCATCTGCACAGATCCTACACACCCTCCCATATGCATCAGATTTCCTCTAGGTGGCTTCTGACACCCCGTGCCACAAAGGCGCTATGCCCCTGGTTGTTACATTACGTTATTTAGGGGATAATGTTACGGAAAGAGTCTGTATGTATTCAATATAGAAGCAAGTGTTTCCCAATATTCTTGACCCAGGACTGGTTGAGTTCAGTGGATTCAGAGCTTCCGGTGTGGAAAGCCAACTGCATGAGGCACAAGCACGGCCGGTACGGTGTTGTATGCCTGCAGTCCCAGCTACTCGGGAGACCGGGGCAGGAGGACTGCTCGATCCCAGGAGTGGGCAACACGGCGAGTCACCCCAGCCCCGAGGAGTTCAGGTAGCTGCACCATCTTCTTCCTCCCGGCTGCTGCACTGTTCTTGGAATTTCCCACAGGACACGCTCTGATCCCTTCCCGCAGGAGGTGGACACATCTAGTGGCCACTGCAGTCCTTCTTGCCCTTATTCTTAAAATACATGCCACATTCCCGATGCCATCCTCCCTCTGGACCAGGGGCTGCCATCCTCCTCCAGCTGCTGCCGCCCGGCTCGCTGGGCAGAGCATCTTACCATGCCCCGGGTCAGTGTGAGCAGCGCGGAGGCTCTGCAGGATTTTCACTCACTTCTTCCCCTCCTACATCACCACCACAATCTAATTAATTAACTCTTGAGAACAGTCTGCTATTTTATTACTGGAATCATGACAATCTCCCTAGGTTCCTGTTTGTTGTGCTCTTTTCTGTGGTACTAGGGACTGAACCCAGGCTTCACAGCGAGCCACATCCCAGCCCTTTTATAGTTCGTATTCTGAGCCAGGGCCTCCCTAAGACACTGTGCTGTCCAGCGTGGGCTCAGCTCTGCCAGCCCTCCTTCCTCAGCCTCCCCGAGCACTGGATTACAAGCGTGCACCCTGCTGTCTGGCATATTTGCTTTATTTGTCAATCTTTCTAGGTTTTTGAAATTCTCGCCATATGCACAGAATTGGGGAACACACAAAAGCAGAAAAATACCCCTTCTCCACAATAAGGTCAAAGTGGGGCGGTACACCCGTCAGACTTGTAGCTGCTGGGATTTACGCCTGGCTTTCTGGGAAGGGGGTCACTCATGTTTTGGGAGTCTCCTGCAGCGGCCCCCAGCTCCTGCTCCAGGCCACCCCTGCCTTCTGTCCTGCCCCACCCTCCTAGGAGCTGCAGCTCGGGCAGCTCTGCAAGCCCAGGAGGAGTTGGGCTGGGATAGGGGAAAATGACGCCTCTAGATATGAAGCGGGGGAAGGAAGGGAAGCTGGGATGAAGCCTGGCTGCACCCCAGTTCTCAAACATTACTCAATCTCAACAAGACAGGTTCAGGTCCAACCACTTCTCCATTTAAAAGGCATGGCCACCCAGAAACCACTTTCTTTACTGTTTACATTAACTCTGACCCAAATCTGTCTGCGGAAGCACTTGAAACCTCAGAGCAGCCTGTCTCCTTCCTGCCACTCCTTTGCCAAGGTAGTCTGGGGGAGGCGGGAGGCTACAAGCTCCCACTGACGTCACCACTGCAGATCATCCCTGAACACATTCTCAGGTGACCCCATACAGTCCTTCTCACACTGGCCTGTTCAACAACGAACAGGCTTACACAAGTCAGCCCTCGATTTCTGTGACAAAGAACCTTTGTGCACAAAAATGTGCCTTCCTGGTTTTCAAGACGGCTGGCCTCCAGGACACTGTGTGTGTGTGTTGTGCTCAGGGTTTTCGGGCTCAGGCCACCCTGGCGCCTTGAGAGGTGTCCCTGAGGAGCCCTGGGTCCCTCCGGGTCCCCATCCACTCTCTGGAAGCCCCCAAGATCTTGAGTATCCTTGGGGGAGCCCAGGCTGTATATCTGATGGGTTTGCCACAGCCTCCAGGACGGAGGTTCCACACTCTGGATTGCTTATTAAAATGCAAAGTATCGTCTAAATACATAAATACTAAGTATGTACTACGTACTAAACACGTAATACGAAGTATCGTCTAAATACGTATCAGACCACAGACTGGCTTAAAACCTAGCGAAACACGCAGGGCCTTTGTGTGCCTGTGCTAGTAGGAAACAGAGCCCAGCTTCCACAGCACCTTGTATTTTTACTTATTCTGTCACTTACATAAAAATTTTACAAAAAATTGCATGAATTAGTGGTTGTCCAAAGTTTAACAAGAGGGCAAAAGCATTTAGCTAGGGCTTATCAATATGGGAATGGGCACATTGATATCCATCCTGTATAGGACACAGATGTCCATTCAATGAGATGACACACGTGAAGACCCTAACGAATGCTGGGAGCTCAAATAAGTACTTGGGTAATGTCATCCTACCTGTTATAACACTTGCAAAAACAAAGGGAAATGTTATAAAGAACAATTATAGCCCCTGAAGCTTCTCTTCAAAGATCTTTAAATGTGAATTTCTTAGAGGTCAGTTTCATACCTCTAACAAAAAAAAAAATCATCTGTCAGTTTCATTACTTCAGTCACATACTCGACTGCCTCTGTGAAATTGTTCATTTTCAAGTACCTATTTATGTATTTTGAATTAATTTTAGAATTACACAAAGTCACAAAGAGAGCAAGGACAGCTCCCATATTCCCCTCAGCAGCTTTTATTTTCTTTAATTATGTTATGGAACTATGGTAACCGATCAAATCCAGTAAATGACTGGGGACCATACACTGTCACCACAGACCTCTTTCCCTCGAGTTCCCTTCCTTTTCCCGCTCACGTCCATTCGTCTGCTCCGGATCCATCCAGGACCCTTTGCTGCACAGCGCTGCTGAGCCAGATCCCTCTGGAGCCCCATATCTTTCCCCAGCTCTCCCTTCTGAGGGCTGACGGTGACTTGTTTTATGGAGCTGAGCTTTTGATGGATTAAACCAAGGCGAAGCACTTTATCAGGAACCCACAGTGCAGCATGTGGAGTGTGGGGGTGTGTGTGCACGTGTGCATACGCACGTGTGTGGATGCACGTGTGTATGTGTGTGTGTGTGTGTGTGTGTGTGCGCACCTGTGTGATATGCAAAGGTCCCACTGCTAGGAACACCCGGTCAGTATCATTTACCAGAGGGTGCTGCTGAGTGTCTCAGAGAAAGGTTGCACTCCTGCACTGCGTACTTAACCCCTTGGTGGATGAGCCCTGAGACCGTGCAGATCCTGTTTCCTGACAAACTGACCACAGCACCATCTGCCAATGGACATTTCTGCAGCCACAGACTGCTACCGCACGCACTGTACGCAGGAAACATTTCTCTTTTTTGGGGGGGGGGGGATACCAGGGATTGAACTCACGACCTCATGCTTGCCAGGCTGGCACTCATGCCGCTAAGCTAAATCCCTGGCCCCTATGGAAACATTTCTTCTCTTCCTTTTTAAGCAGGTGTTTAGCCTCATCCTCTTGCAGTGGAGTTTTCCGCCCCCTGCAGATACCAGTCTGTTTTTTAATGCACTCAGCAACAGAACAAAACCCAAAGCAACACCTTTTTATTAGCTGGCTGGCTGGGCTGTGCCTGTGTCATAAAAATTAAGGCTGAGGCAGTACAGATGGCGGGGAGCGGGAGGGAAGAGGGCGCTGTGCTCCTCCACAGCGGGAGCAGCCACTGTGTACTCCACACCACTAACAGAATAAAGCGTTAAGAAAAGAGTGTGCAGAGGTTGGGTTAATAAAAACTAAAATGACTTTTTCCAGGCCTCCCAAACCTGAATGATCAGACTCTGCCGCTGAGCATGATCCACTCCACTGGCCACAGCCAGGTAAAGGCTGAGATTCACGTTTCCGTTATTCGCCCAGCCTCCGGGGTTTCTACTTTCTTGGTAAGCTAGCGTCTGGATTAGCAAGCAGCAAAGAACACCTTAAGGCCGCTCAGGCTGCCGCCCCAGGACGAGGCGGGTTTCGCACCAAGACTGGAGACTCGCGCCATCTAGTGGACGCCTCACGCCAGGCCGTCTCACAAAACAAGTCAGCATTAAGGGCCTAGGTCATGACCAGAGAGAGGGCCAGTGTCCTGCCCCCGCCACCACAGCCTCAGCACCACTGTGGCTCCAGAAGGTGTTAAGACATCTGAGGAGGAAGGAGGGAGTGCGTAGATCTCTGTATGAAGGACATTTCCCGAATGAACGGGATGGGCTGGGTTTCCCGGAAGCTTGCCAGAAAAGGAGGTGACATCAGAAGTCCCTGGGCCAGGTTCTGCCAAGCCCAGGATGACGAGGGGCTCCTGTTTAATCTTGCACAGGCTGCTGCATGCATCTTCTCACTCAGTGAGCAGCGAGGCTCTAGTGGGAGGCCTGCTGGTCTGGAAGGAGGCCCAGGGGACCTTCGCCCTGGCCCCAGATGCACCCACAGCTCCCCAACAACCGCATTAGAGAGAACTCTGTGCACACTGAAGCTGTCCAAGGTTGTACCTGCCCTTCCCATTGAGCCCAAGGCGCACTGCCCACACCCTCTTCTCTGTGCCATGCTTTTTCATAGAAAATCCTCAGGGCTGGCCCAGGGGCTGGACTTGCACAAAGAGCTCAAGAGCCCTGCCTCCCTAGGCAGGACGCTGTGCCCTGCTCATGCACAGAGGCCACGGAGGCCATGGAGGCTCTCGAACAGCATCTGGCAGAAAGTGGACCTCGGTCCGTGCAGAAAAAAACAGGAAGAACGTGCCCAAAGCCCTGCATGGTCTCCAGCCACCGCTCTTCATCTCATCTCATCACACTCAGCCCATCTTGGTCACCCACTAAGACGGGACAGGGAAACAGAGGCAGGGACACTGCAGCCTGCTGTCCCTGAGGACTTACTCCCCAGAAACTTCCATGCAGCCTGTCTGTCCCTCGATTCGGGAGCCTCCAGGTCCCCCTGAAGCAATGGCCCAGCTGCTCCGAGACACCAGGTCCTGTTGGCTCTCTCATTGGCTCAAAGTAATGCAAAATAAAGCAAAACAGACCCTAGAACTTGGCGTGAGGACCCCCCACCCACACACTCAGATTAAAGAGCAGAGGAGCTTCCTTCTCCACTCCGCTGGGCACTGTGTGGGGGGACCCAAGCCTTGGGGTGCAGACCCTATCTGGGACAGACAGCCGCGCCACTTTCACTGTGCTGTGAGAAAGTGCCCGAGGCCAGGTGCTGGCCAAGGTGGCGCCTTTGAGGACACCGATGCCCTCACCAGTGTGACACTATTTCTTAGGCAAGTTCCAGTTGACCTCTCAAATGTGTCCCTTTGGAAACAAGGGAGAGTGTGAACTATGGGTCACTAGAAATAGAAAATACGCTGCTTAATAAAAACCAAAGAGCAGCTTCTTGCCCACTGTGGGAGACACTCCAGTGTCTCCGCTTGAATGCACAACAATTACTACAGCTTTGATTATTTGGAGACATATTTCCTTACACTGATATGTGCAGAGCTGACTGTGCTATTTCCTTCTCTCTTCAATTGGATCTAAGCATTGCAAAAAACTGGCATGTAATCTCTAAAGCCATCAGACAGTCTCCTGTCTCCTTGCATAGTGCTCTGCATAGTGCTCTCCAAAGGATACGAGCACAGTGGAATGTTAGAGCCAATAGCTCCGGGAATGTCAACTAGGTATGAGCCTCAAAATAGAGGCTATGGACTCCCCAGGGCACAAAAGTTTACAAAACAATTCAGGTGCTACCTTATTATGGGAACTGACCCTTGTGCATATCCTTATCTCTGCATTTTGCAGAAATACTCCTCTCCCCACCTGGCCAGCCAGCTCAAGTTACTCACATAATTCCCGCCATCTTCACTGTCACTCATCCCTGACCCACCCCCCTTCTTCACAAGATAATAAATTCCAAGAGAGGCCTTGGATCAGGGCCTTTGCCCGCACATCCTCACAGGGATTGGATTTAGGACCCCTTGGTTGTCCTCAACTTGGAGTAAATCTTGGTGTCTTTACTCTCGCTGTGGGTTGCATTGGAGGTGGTAGACTGGAATTAACTTGCTGGGATTCCAATAACGTCTCAGTGCGATTACAAATATAACCTTTTGGATTGTGAGGAAAACTGGAAAAAGGATTACAGTACTTGGATGACTGAACTCAGTATTTGGGATTACAATAGCCCACCATTGTCACAACTCTGCAAAACTGTGTTTCAGTGGCCCCTGTGTGGACAGTGTGACCTATCAGGAAAAGCATGCTGGAGGGTGGGGGACCTGGGCCTTCATCCCCCACGCCCCATCCCCACGCCCGCATTGCTGCTCTCACCTGATATTTTGACTGGACTTTGGAAGCTGGGCTGAATTTTATGCACATTATCATTTTTTAACACCTGATCCAGGGGAGATCTTTCAAAGAAAGTGAGCACCACTTCTGACCTAGAATACTGGGAAGAAACACAATAATTACTAAAGCCCAGATGCTCCGGAGTCAGCCCCGCCTACCCGCCCAGTGGGCCAGGACACATTGCCGCTTCCTCCCAACCCAGGGAGCGGTCTGCAGCCCTTTCATACTGTGTCACTGTCACACTGTGCTCCTGCCTCCAGCGCCCTTGGTATCGAAGACCACTCACCCACATGGGGTGAGATAGAGCCTGGGGTGTGCAGAGGTGGGAAAGCGAAACCCTGCAGCCGCAGGAGCCTCCTTCCCCCGCTTCATGCCTGCTCTCCTCCCTCTCGCCCAAAAGGCTTCATGACAGGCAGCAAAAGGTCAGTAATCTGGGAGGCTGGAAGCCTTTGAAATTTGGAAGATGATAGCTGCACCCCTGCAGGGCTTTCCCCCAGTACTGACTTTATGGGGCACACCAGGTACCAACCTCATAGGGCACGCCGGGTACTGACTCTATAGGGCATGCCAGATACCGACTCCACAGGGCAAGCAGGGTACCGACTCTACAGGGCATACTGAGTACTGACTCTACAAAGCACGCTGGGCACTGACTTTACAAAGCATGCTGGGTAATGACTCTACTGAGCATGCCAGGTACAGACTCTACAGAGCAAGCAGGGTATTGCCTCTACAGGGCACACTGGGTACCGCCTCTACAGGGAACGCTGGGTACTGACTCTACAGGGCATGCTGGGTACTGACTTTACAGGGCATGCTGGGTACTGACTTTACAGGGAACGCTGGGTACTGACTTTATAGGGCATGCTGGGTACTGACTTTACAGGGCATGCTGGGTACTGACTCTACAGGGCATGCTGGGTACTGACTTTATAGGGCATGCTGGGTACTGACTCTACAGGGCATGCTGGGTACTGACTCTACAGGGCATGCTGGGTACTGACTTTACAGGGCATGGTGGGTACTGACTTTACAGGGCATGCTGATGATCGTCTTGAGCAGCTTCTCCACTTCATTGAGCCGGGTCTCTATGTCATGCGCATTCTTTATGGCAACCAGTCCTAGAATGGACACAGAAATGCTGAAAGTCAGAAAAGCACATGCACTCCTAACTAAATTTACAACAGGCACCCGAGACAAGGACACCACCTGGAAGTCCTCCTCCATAGAGCGTGTTAGACAATACGGGGCTCCCCTTTATGTGAAAGGGACCCCTTTCATGACCTCCAGGGGACACCTGAAACCATGGAGAATGCCGAGCCTTTTCCATCTTATCTAAGAACGTTTACCCACCATGGAAGTAGCAAAATGAGCATGAATTTCCTTTTTCTTCACAGTTTTAAGCCAGGTGATTCCCCTTCACCACACATCTTAGCAAATTCAGCAGATGGTTTTATCTTTCCTTATTTATTCAAGGACACCCATCTGTTCACTTACAGGAAGTCCTTCAGGACTTCTCCTTGACATATTCATATTGCCAGCCTTAGTACTCCTGCACAGTAAAATAAGCATTATTTGAACTCAGCACTGTGGCAGCATGACAGCCAGTCAACAACCAAGAGGGTAGCGTACAGAGCACAGAAACACTGGACAAGAACGATTCACATTCAGGCAGGATCACAATTTCATCACGCTATTCAAATTGCTGTGTGATTTAAAACTTACAAATTGTTTATTTCTCTAATTTACCACTGTATACTTTCAGAAACTGGACTGAGCGCAGATAACCAAAACAGGAGAAAGCAGAACTGCAGACTGAGCTATGGTACTCACTCTTGGTGAGTACTGTAATGAAATCATGTCCTGCTCTGAACCTCCTTGGAAGTTTCATCAACCCAAAGAATGAAGTTAGTTTACACTAAGATCAAAGCCATCGGTACCAAAAGAGGGTGCTTGGGTCCAGCAGCGGGGTGTGGGAGTCTGAGAGATGTGAGAGCCCGAGTGGGCCCACTCCACCTACACTGTGCACATAGCCAGAGCTCTGGCCAGCACCACAAGGCCCCTGATGGTGTTCAGCTGCAGCGAGGGGCAGTCGGCCCAGGAGCCACCACCCTCACAGACACAGGGAAGAGACTACTCTTGATGACCACAGAAGCCCAGATCACAAGGCCGGTACAAACAGACCTCACATTCAGACGAGTCCTGTAAATGCTATGTTTGGAAGGGAAAATGCCGGAGAAAACTATCATGAGGGTGATTCGCACAGGCCTGTCATCCCAGCATTCTGGGAGTGTGAGGCAGTGCAAATTCAAGCCCTGCCTGGGAAATCTGATGATTTAGCAAGACCCCACCTCAAAATGCAAATTTAAAAAGAAGAGGTCTGGAGATGGAGCCCAGTACACAGGCCCTGGATTGAACCCCAGTACTGCCAAGGAAGTGGGGAGGCGGGTAAAAACGGTACAGTAAAGGCCAGCAGCCGAACAGTCGCTCTAGGACCTGGGATGGGAGAGCTAGAAACTGTGGAGACACTGAGAAATTAAAAGCAACTCAGAAAAGAACAAATAGCCTGGAACGCTAAGCCAGCCACAGGGAGGAAGTCCTGTCTTTGCAAACACAAGTTATTTTTTTTGTTTTTTTCTCTCCCAACTGGGCTGGGAATCAAGCCGCCAGGAAAGGGCGGGACACTAAGAAGACCCTCACATTTCATACTGAGTAAGCTGAAGATGAGTATAAACACCAAAGCATAACCAAACCCCAGGACGCATCACAGGGAGAACCCAACGAGAGAGCTCAGGTACTGACCGTTTCTGCAGTCTCACCCACCTTCAATCCAGAGTGCAAAACCAGTAGAAACATGAGACAGCAAGGGAACACGATGCCACCCCAAATCTCTGTATCCCCAAAAGCTGAGCGCAAGACACAAGAACCAATAGGCACAGAACTAAAAAACCAGCAACCGTATATGACGAGATAAAACAAGAAACATACAAACAAATGCATAAGATGCTTAACGAGCTCAGAGAGGATTTAATTAAACAGGTAAAGGCTTTCACCAATAAAATGTTCAAGCTTAAAGAAGAAACAAACAGTCTGAATTAAGCAAGACAATGTAAGAGTGAGTGACCACTTTGGAAAAGAATTCGGAAGTATGGAAAAAAAAAAAAAAAAAAAGCAAGCAGAGAGAGATGACCTGAGAAATCCAACGGAAGGCATCTGTAGTAGACTTGACCAATGTGAGGACACAGTGCCCAAAATAGATAACAAAGGGCTGGGGATGTAGCTCAATGGTACAAGTGCCTGCCTGGTAAGTACAAGGTCCTGAGTTTGATTCCCGGTACCAAAACAAACAAACAACCATATCTTTAGAAAAAAATAGGTGACAAAGTGGGTACAGTAGACAATGAACTCAATAACAGCCTAACAATGACAAGAGACCATGCACACTAGATCCAACAGCTGCTGGATGACTCAAGGAAACTAACCACAGAATTATAGGAATAAAGAAAAAATTAGAAGCTAACTCAATAAGTGTTCCCTGGAATCCGAAAAGAACGTTTTCCAAATCTAGAGAAAGGATTCAGTATTCAGGTAACGGAGGAACACAGACAAAAAAAAACTTTTCCATGATACATCATAGTCAAATATCAGAAATTCAGCACAAGGAGTGAATACCTAATACTGTGAGAGAAAAATATCAAGTGATCTACCAAGGCAAACTCATTAGGAAACAGCAGATTTCTAAGCGCAAACCTGGAAGACCAGGAAAGTCTGAAGAGAAGCTGTTCAACCCCTAAAAGAAAGCAATCGTCAACCCAGACTTCTTTATCTCACAAAATTAGCCTTAAAACTGATAGAGAAGTAGAGACTTTGGGCACAAAGAAGTCTTAAAGAAACACATGATTACTAAACTAGAATTGCAGAAAATACTTAAGAGAATCATAGACAGAGGCAGGGAGGCCACTAGCACCAAAGAGCCCGAAGCGCGCATCTAATTAGATTGGAACAGTAGTTAAATTAAAGGAAAAAAAATAAAAGAATCAAGGATGGAAAAACCATGTGACAGGATTCTATAAACACCTTGCAGTAACAGCTCTCAATGTGCATGGTCACAAAGTATCAAAAGACATAAACTAGCAGATCAATTAAAAACAAAACGCAACCATCTATTTCCTGTAGAGACCTCAGCCAACAATAAGTACACAGGCCTAAAGTAACAGGGTGGGAAATGATACATTCCATTCAACTGCAGCCCAAAAGAAGCAGGAGCTGTTACCTTATTTTTATCTAATGCAAACAGCAGAATTAAAGCAAAACTGATCAGAAAAGACAAAGTTGGCCACTACATATGGGTAAAGGGAACAATCCAACGGGAGGAGACAGCAACCATTAGTAGTTATACACTGAAAGTCAGTGCATCTAATTTCATAAACAAAAACTACTGGAGTTAAAATGACCAATATAATCTTAACGGTGAGGGACTTCAGTAACCTACTACCACAATTAAACAGAGTAACATACAAAGAAATCAACAAAGAAATATCAGGAGTTAACCCACACCACTGAACACATGGGTTTAACAGATACCCTCACACTGTTCCATCGGACAGCATAATATACACCTCTCTCAACAGCACACACAACTTATTCCAAAACAGGCCATGTCCGGGGCCACAAAGCATGCTTGAAAAGATACAAATGAATTTAAATAATCCCCTGCATCCTGCACTGTCAGATCATAGCAGAAGGAGGCAAGAAATTAACAGCAAATAAAGCCACAGAAACTATGCAAATACATGGAGATTAAATAATACTTTACTGAGTCATCAGTGAATCCCATTAGAAATCAGGAAAGAAATTTAAAACTTTCTCAAAATTGAATGGCAAGGGAAGCACAACACACCCAAACCTATGGGACGCAACAGAAGCTGCCCTAAAAGGGAGGTGAACAGCATGAATGTGCACACAAAAGAAGTGATTCCAAATAAATAACCTAAGGATGCGTCTATCCGAGGGAGACAATGATCCAAATCAGAAACTAACTGAAATAAACCGCATGGATCAGAATTGGAATTAATGAAATTGATACCAAAGACACACAATATGAGAACTCAATGAACCAGTTGTTTCCCTGAAAGGATGGGATGTGAGAGATGGGGGAGGAAGGAAAGAGGGACAGGAAATGTGTATGGATCCCCCACTGTGAATGTATTTATTACATCACAAAAATATGCTGATAAGAATTGGAGAAAAAACTCAAAAGACTACAGTTGAAGGCACGGTGATGCGGGGTGCTTTCCTGTCTCCCCAAGAGTAAGCAATGCAAATCTAATGCAAAATCCCTTTCTGTCCGCCAGATAGAGACGGAATTTACACGTCTAGGGCACAGAAGTGGTGCGAAGCTGTGGCAGGACAGTGACTGTGTTTTCCTTTTAAGACAGGAGATGTTGATGTAGAGGTGTTTTTTTCTAAGCTAAGACCTCAAGATTCAGGTTTAATTTCGGTGTTGGCGCTCTGCAATAAATCACTAGGTTCTGGCTTGCAGTTTAGCACTCGGTCGCCACAAGGTTCGCTGTCACTGACCTAAGATGTCCCTGCCCTGTGAGAAGCAACCAAACCACAGAGCCCAGAGCCCAGAGCTATGAGCGGGCAGCGAGTCCAAGTTTTCAGAAGGTCTCATTTGGGCTGGTTTCACAAACAGGAAAAGCCTTGTTCGGTTTCCAAGCCGCCCAGTGCCCAGGTCTGTGACAGAGGTAAGTCTGGAAATCCGACTGAAGAGAAGAGCCTTCAGGACACACGGCCGCCAGGGACGCCCCATGCCTAAGGAGAACCCTGGGCCACCCGGACGCCAGCCCAGGAACTGGACCCTCCGATGCCTACAGACTGGAGACCTCGCCTGGCCCACTCATGCTCATGTGTGGGCATCTGGTCCTCCCCTGGCCCTGCCCTCCTCGGCGCCACAAACCCAGAGGCAGAGTCCAGCACTGGGCGTCACCCTGCAGACCCTGTGTGTACCCAAGTGTGACACCCTTGTCACCCACCAAGGTGGGTAGATCACTCTCCCCTCCTCCTTCTCCCTGCCCCATGCCCCACCCTGCATATTGTGGGAAGCCTGGAAAAGAAA